CCCCAAAACCCCAAAACCCCTTTTGCAGGATAATTTGTGGGCAAGAATTTAATTAGGTTTAATAAAGAGATAAGTGGTAGATATATTGCATTTGCAACTTTAAATTCATCATTTTTATCGAACACTGGTTCTTAAAACAGATTACTTTCATGATTATTGCTGTAGTTTCTATGAGGTATATTTGAGAATCCAAGGATGATTTTCAATCTATTCAAGAGTAATTCTTTCCTTGGGATTGAAACACAATATTCTGCTTATAAGGTCTCTAACTTCTAGTGATAAATATTCAGGGAATTTCAGATCTATACTCTTGATTCTTTCATAAGTCTTTTCGTTATTGTCTGCTTCAAAGGGTGGATTGCCAACACAGAACTCATAACACAAGATACCGAGAGACCAGACATCAACTCTTTTATCATGAGGAGCTTCAACTACCATTTCTGGTGGAAGATAATCAAGAGTTCCACAAAGAGTTTGTCTCTTATCGTTTGGGGAATGGATTGACCATCCAAAGTCTGCAATCTTAATTGTTCCCTATAGCAATCTATTAAAGAAAAAATTAATATACCAAGCAATTAAGTAAATTTTCAGGTTTAATGTCTCTGTGAATGACGTCCTTAGAATGTAGATAGATCAAAGCCTAACATAATTGCCTTATGTAATCAGCTGCTACTCTTTCTGGATATCTGCCGTTTTCTTATTTTTTGAGATCTTTATAGAGCTCCCCTCCAGGTGCATATTCTAGAATAAGATAGATTTTTTTGTCATCCCAGAAGAATCCATACATTCTTAGAATGTTATTGTGTCTCAAGTGAGATTAGATTTCTATTTCTCTTCTCAATTGATGTTCAACGTTTGACTTTTACAGCTGTTTCTTGTAAAGCACTTTTAAAGCTACAATAAACTTGGATTTCTTTTCCCTTGCAAGGTACACATGTCCAAATTTCCCCCTTCCAAGTGGTTTGCCGATTTCAAAGTCATCAATAGTCCAGCTCTTTGGTGAGAATTTCTTAGATGGCTAAGTCTGCTGTATTTATTACTACATCAAAGTATTCTGTTGGGCATTCTCCTTTTCTTGTAAAAACTATTGTGATTGCTATTGCTACTGTTAAATCTGCTTATTCTTTAGATCTTCTCCTGGTTGCTAAATGCTATACATATGGGATTGATTATTATTTTAGGACTAAGACTGATTATGATTGTTGAAGTTTTACTGATGAACAATCATTTCTTTTGAAGTGTTATAGCCCTAAGGATGGAATAAGTTATTATTGATTGATCCACCTTAGAAAGATTGCTAATATGATGAATTCTTAGTGCTCATGGCATGCTGCTGTAATGGCATCTCAAAAACTTTGTTCTTTTATTAAGGATAGCTAATTTGTTACATTTATCCAGGCATATTCATTTAGGCCCCTCCGTCGTATTAGTGATGTTGAGGATGCTATTGCTGTGAAACATTCTGAGTTGACAAATTCTACTAGGGTCCAGTATTGTTAAAAACTTTTTTATTTTAAGTGAAAGAATTTCCCATGTAGTTATTCACGAGTTTGCTTGGATTCTAATTTGTTCCCGCATTGTTTTGATTATGAGTTATAGTCCCTGCTTTGTTAGAGGTACTGTTCATGTTCAATTGCATATTCATATTATCATTAATTGAATTATGCTATTAGTGATGCTGATGTGAATGCTGCTATTGATTTTAAATTGATATATTATGCTATTGTAGATGCTACTATTGAGAGGTATTATGAGACATCAGTTTCCCTTTGGTCTATGCTTTTTATTAGACAAGAGCCTTCATAGAGTTTTGTTGTTGCAAAGGTTAGCTATTAATTATTTGGGTGTTCTGTGTCTGATTTAAAGGTCTATGTGGTGATTTCTTTGTCTATTGTGAATTCATCATTCTGTTTTTAGATCAAATTTTGCTTTATTTCAAAAGTTTTAGAATTATTGAAATTAAATTATAATTTTAGATTTGAATTCGTTAGAACTTGAATAAAGGAAAATGAAAGAATATGGGGTTTTGGGGTTTTGGGGTTTTGGGGTTTTGGGGTTTTGGGGTTTTG